ACCTTTGGGAGTCGGAGCTCCTTCGGCTTTGGGACCCTGAGGTTCTTTGGCTTTGGGAGCCAGAACTTCTTTAGCTTTGGGAGCCGGAGCTGCTTCGGCTTTGGGAGCCGGAGCTTCTTTGGCTTTGGGAGCCTGAGCTTTTTCACCTTTGGGAGTCGGAGCTCCTTCGGCTTTGGGACCCTGAGGTTCTTTGGCTTTGGGAGCCAGAGCTTCTTTAGCTTTGGGAGCCGGAGCTGCTTCGGCTTTGGGAGTCGGAGCTTCTTCAGCTTTGGGAGCCTGAGCTTCTTTAGCTTTGGTAGCCGGAGCTTCTTTGGCTTTGGGAGCCGGAGCTGCTTCGGCTTTGGGAGCCTGAGCTGCTTCGGCTTTGGGAGCCAGGAGCTGCTTCAGCTTTGGGAGCCGGAGCTTCTTCAGCTTTGGGAGCCAGAGATTCTTTAGTTTTGGGAGTTGGAGCTGCTTTGCCTTTGGGAGCCGGAGCTTCTTTAGCTTTGGGAGCCGGAGCTTCTTTGGCTTTGGGAGCCAGAGGTTCTTTAGTTTTGGGAGTCGGAGCTGCTTCAGCTTTGGGAGCCTGAGCATCTTTAGCTTTGGGAGTCAGAGCTGCTTCGGCTTTGGGAGCCTGAGGTTCTTTGGCTTTGGGAGCCACAACTTTTTTAGCTTTGGGAGCCGGAGCTTCTTTAGCTTTGCGAGTCAGAGCTGCTTCGGCTTTGGGAGTCGGAGCTTCTTCAGCTTTGGGAGCCTGAGCTTCTTTGGCTTTGAAAGCTGGAGCTGCTTCGGCTTTGGGAGCCTGAGCATCTTTGGCTTTGGGAGCCAGAGCTTCTTTGGCTTTGGAAGCTGGAGCTGCTTTAGCTTTGGGCGCCGGATTTTCTTCAGCTATAGGAGCTGGAGCTTCTTCACCTTTGGGAGTCGGAGCTGCTTCGGCTTTGGGAGTCAGAGCTGCTTCATTTTTGGGAGCCTGACCTGCTTTAGCTTTGGGAGTAGGATCTTCTTCAGCTTTGGGAGTAGGAGCTGCGTCATCTTTGGGAGCCTGAGCTTCTTTAACTTTGGGAGCCGGAGCTTCTTCACCTTTCGGAGCCACAGCTGCTTCAGCTTTGGGAGCCGGAGCTTCTTCACTTTTGGGAGTTGGAGCTCCTTCGGCTTTGGGACCCTCAGGTTCTTTGGCTTTGGGAGTCTGAGCTTCTTCACCTTTGGGAGTTGGAGCTTCCTCAGCTTTGGGACCTGGAGCTTTTTCACCTTTGGGAGTCGGAGCTCCTTCGGCTTTGGGACCCTGAGGTTCTTTGGCTTTGGGAGCCAGAACTTCTTTAGCTTTGGGAGCCGGAGCTG